AATAAAGGTTAATTCACAACATACAGGATTCATCCTGTTGGGGGTAATACATAGCACGGATAAGACGATTGCAAAATTAACGGGAAACTGAGGCAAGGTAAGTGGGTAATCTTCAGGTTGGTAAGCTATAATTTATAAAAGGCCACAGGGCAATAACTTCACTCAGGATGGTGACCATAACTATCCATATTCGAACCAAAGAAGATAGAAGGAGTAGGCCATGCGGGATTGAGACTGACCCCCATTCAACGTGATCTTGACTATCACACTTGAGATCCTCTCCCCATATTCCTTGACTCCTTTAGCATCTAAAAACACATTAATTTCTTTCTTAAATATTTAATGAACTGGTGTCCACAGCCTTCTGTCATAAAGAATTTTACATGGCCATCATCCTGAGTGAAGAAATCTTTCATCTCAGTTCCAAATAGTTTACCCCTGACCTCATATCACAAACCTGCCATCCTGGTAATCAGCTTGGCGAACTTTTGCTGAACTCTGTGTCAAGTACAAATCTTCTTACTCAAGGAGACCAAAACTCCAACCAATACTCAAGTATGACCAAGGCCCTGCACAGCTGCAGCAAGACATCCCTACTCTCGTACTCAAATCCTCATATAATGAAGGCCAACAAACCAATGGCCTTCCTCACTGCCTGGTGCGCCTGCATGCTTGCTTTTAGAGGCTCTTTTTACAAAGATGCCCAGGTCCCTCTATACAACAACGTTTCTCAATCTACCACTATTTAAACAATGTTCTACCATTCTGTTTTCTCTACTGAAGTGGCTAACTTCACACTTATTCATGGTATTCTGCACCTGCCATGCACTTTCCCCACTTACTCTAAACCACCTTCAAGCCTCTTTACTTCCTCACCACTCAATTCCTCCCGTTTGTGTCATCAGCAAGTGAGGTCTTATATTTAATTTTCTCATCTAAATTATTGATGTGCGTATAAAATGTACATACTATATTTATGTAGCAAATAGCCAGGGCTGAAACACAGATCCCTGTGGTATCCAACTAGTTAATCCACTCCAGAAAGTCCCGTTCATTCTTATACTGTGTGCGCTAACCAATTCTCAATCCATGCCAGCACATTACCACCCCACAATCCCATGTGCTTTAATCTTGCACACTAACCGCTCACGTGGTTATCAAATGCTCTCTGGGTATCTAAATACATCACAGTGATGAATGGATAAAGAAAAGATTCCATCCAAGTCCAGTGGAGTTCAAAGTACGAAGAGATCATTTTATTAAACTTAAGATTTTTTAGATGACTTAGCAAAATAGTAGATATCTCCCCTTGTTGGAAAAATCTAGAACTGAGGGAAACAGTCTTAGGATAAGGGTGTGACCCAGTTAAACAGAGATCAAGACAAATTTCTTTGCTGAAGACTGTGGAATTTGAGTCATTAACTATAATTCAAGGTTGACATAAACATATGTAAGAGAATAAGTCAAGAAAAAAATCCGCCATTATGTGATTGAATAGCAGAGCAAGCTTTGGAGTCATTTGGTCTATTATTCCTACTTATGTCCATAAATCATAGTTCTGAAGGTCTGGTATTGGAGGATCACACCAAGAAAGAAAAACAAGAATGGAATCTTTTTAGTGGGTTGAATTATACACATTTCTAAAATAGAGATTTGTTGACAAACTCAGAACAATATGACATAAAACTGGCCAAGATACAAAAAGCAGAATTGTGGTGTTTTAAGACTGGAGAGAAGTACACTTGTAATGTCTCCCAGGTGGTCAGTATTAGGCTATTATAAAAACTTATTTCCTGCACTTATTTTTAAATGATAAAAAGCATTTTGAAAGTTTTATTTTGTTTTGACTAAATTTTCAAATCACCAAAGAATAAAGGAAGATTGCACAAGGTACATTTTCCACAAATGTTACATATTCAGTGAAATAGGTATCACATTTGTCTAATTGCAGCCATTAACAGCCACCATGCCTTTTGCCCTGCTAAAACCATGGCGTCTCCCAACACAGGCACCACGTCAGTGTATTTACCTGATGATTGGTTACCCGTAGCCAAGCGAAGGGATAAATTTTCAACAGGTCAATTTTGATCAGTACTTCAGATTGAACAAAAAAACTTAGCTACAGGGTAAACAAAATCATCCACTTCTGGCAAGAAAATTGCCCCATGGTTCAGAGTACTTGTGAGTAACTTCAAAAGTGGCATTTTTCTAAACAAAAGGATTTAATAGACTTCGAATACTTCAAGTAATCTAACTATTCAATCTTACCTCTTCTGTATTTCCCCATTCAAGGAGGCTTATTTGGGTTGGGGGTCCTGCAGTCAGATGAATTCGTACATAATCTACAAAATCACGCCAAGCAAAACAAAGTTCTTTGAGACCAGTCACTCCAGGTACAAATTTTATTCCCCGAACAACCATATTCTGGGTATTTTCCTAGGAAGACAAGGAGAAAGCTTATTTACATAGCATCTTTAATTTCCATAAAGTCTCATTATTTTTCCAGTTTCACTACTCCCAATTTATGATTCATGATAACTACTTTTATGTACACCCATAAAAGCCAAACTTTGTAAGGATACTAGTGCTTTTCTCAACAAACATAGCACACAGTTAATCACCAATTGATGAAGAGCTAATTATGGATAAATATTAACATGTAGGCTGATATTTTTATGTCTATATCAAAATTTTGATCAGAAATACAAATCATAAATCAAAAATAAAACATGTTTTCTTCAAATCAAATGTAGTATTTGATAAAGTGCCCCTGAGGGGTAATGATACCATGGCGATAATGTCATTGGTCCAGAAATCAAGGTTAATGCTCCAGGGACCAGGCAGCTGGAGAATTTTAAATTTTATTTAACTAGCAATTAAACTAGGCTTGTCTTAGCAGTGGTACCTTGAAATAGCAATTGTAAAAACCCACCTGGCTCACTCGTGACCTTTAGGTCAGGAAATCTGCGATCCTGATCTAATCTAGGTGACTCCAGACCACAGCTCACGCTTGGCTACCGTCTGAAATGAGCTAGCATAATCACTCATTTCAAGGGTAATCGGTGGTGGGCATCAAATGTTGCCTTTGCAATTTCGCCAACTCGTGAAATAACTTTTTTGTTTTTGATTTGTTGACAAAAACTTAACAGCAAACAGCAATACCATGCAAAACAGGGCCCAGGGACAGAAATCAGAAAGTGATGGTGACATGCTCTTAAGAATGAATGGAAGTATACTGTGGTGTCTCAGAAGGAGTTAGTATTACAACTGCTGCTCTTGATGCACACTATTATCCTGGACTTGGATATAAAGAGAAGAATTCCAAAGTTTTCAACTGGCAATAACCTTTAAAATGTACTAAACAGTGAGCAGGATAATGGCAGATGTCAGGAAGACAGGCATTGGAGAAACGGGAAGGCAAATATCAGATGAAAGATAATGCAGAAAGAAGTGTGAACTATGCATTTTGTAACAAAAAGCAAGGAGAACTAACATAAACCATCAGTATAAAGCAGATGCAAGAACAAAGCATAGGAAGTTCACATTTATACAGTTTTGAAGACGCCAGAACAAATGGATAACAAAAGTAGATAGTCTCTTGGTTTTATAGAATACAACAGAAAAAGGTTATGTTAAACATTTTCAAAATATTGGTTATGCCTCAGCAAATGTATTATTCTGAAATATGACACCATGTTATTGCAGTTAGCACCTTTGAGAAAAATTACTGTCGTTATATTTAAGGTGACAGACTTGAATTATGGGAAGAGATTAGGTGAGAATTTCCACTTTACAGAGGAAGTTAAAGGGGTTTTAAATAGAATGATTCCAAACATGAAGGGTCAACATAAAAAATAAGGAATCACTGGTGGGAGGGTCAGTAACTGGAGGACACAGATTCATTGTAATTTGGCATAAGAATGGGGAGAGGTGAGTTGTGGTGTTTTGGAAACTTACATTTAAATGAGTTAGAATGCAATATCTGAAAAAGGAAGTGGAAGTAAATCCAATTATCTTAGAAACAAAAATTTGATAGGACAGAAATGGAGTACCACTTGTTGCCATCTATTTTCAACCGTTTTTACAAAGACTTTGCATAAAGTCACAAGAAACATGGCTAACTCAAAAAAATGTGCAAACATAACTTTTTAAAATTCACTCATAGGATCATGGGCATTGCTGTCTAGCCAGCAATTATTGCTTTTGTTAGTTGCCCTTGAGCCAACAGTGGTGGGCTGGCTACCTTCAATATTTCATCATCTCAGAGGGCACAGTATTCCAGACAGGTTCTAGAAGCCATGTATACTTACACTGCATCTTTAGTGTGATAAAATATTTAAGGTGCATATCAGAAGCGTCATAAAGCATAGAAGTCTCCATAATGGAAGAAGATTTTATACCACCTATCAAAATCCTTGAAGATTTTAAGTAGAGGCTCAAAGGAGGAGATGGAGGGGTAGAGAAGTGAAGGGAGGGAATACCACAATATTGGGCATAGACAATTGTCAGTGTGGCTACCTAAATCAGAGTAATTAAGATTGGAAATGCATCAGAATTAAAGCACAGATATCTCAATTGAGAACTTTGAGGCAATTAGAACTAACAGATTACAGACATTACAAAAACAGGTCAGAGTCTAGGAATCCTGTACTAACCAACTCATCACCTGACTCCCCATCCACAAGGCATAAGTAGGAATATTCTCCACTTGCCTGTATGAGTGAAGCTGTTACAGAGAAGAGGCATAACACCAGCCAGCTTGATCATTTGTGGATGTGGTACCATTCAGTGTGTGCTATCTACAAAGTGCACTGCAGAAATTCAAAGAAGATCCTGAGACAGCATCTTGCAAACCCACAACTATTTCCATCTAGAAGTACAAGGTCAGCAGATACATGGGAACACCACCATCTACAAGTTCCCCTCCAAGTCACTCATTCACCTGACTTGGAAATATATTGCTGTTCCTTCAGTGTTGTTGGCTCAAAGTCCTGGAATTCCCTCCCTAACGGCATTACGGGTCTATCAACAGCACACAGACTGCAGTGGTCCAAGAAAGCAGTTCGCCACTGTGCCTGAGAGGTGTGCTGCCCTGTTTCTCTTGCAGAGAGGTGCTGCCACCGTGGTACCGAGATGTCTCCTTCAGACTGGCAGTTGGTAAATAGTTTGGAGTTATCACTGGGTGTTTTTATCAAATGAGACAAAAGAATCATGAGTGAGCAGGGTCAGGGCTCTCACTGACCCAGGACGATTTTTAGTTTTGCTTTTAGTTAGAGAGAGCTTTTTTGGTGGCTGGGTGCTGGAACTAACAGCTAGTTTTCGCTCTCTCGCTCCCTCTGCTGCTAGAATGAGAAGACAGCACGTGAGAATAAATGGGTTTTGCTAAATTGTATGTTTATGGGATGCTGCCTTTATTGGTTAAGTCATGTATCTTGTTAAGTATTTCAATACATCTAAGATTATCCCAGATCTTCTTTTCACTTGTTTTTAAAATTGTGTTGTAAGTATAAGGTGTGTTTTGCTTAAAACTTAGCGGTGGACCAATCGAATTACATCTGGAACACAGCGCCTTAGGCTTGCCTTTAAATAAATCTAGAAATTAGGGTCTAGGCTATTTCCTTACTATGTTTGGCAGGTGGGGGTGTGGGGCATGGGGGTGGTGGCGGTCTGGTCCGTAACACCACCTTCTCAAGGGCAACTAGGTATGAGCAATAAAAGGCTAACCTACCCAATGATGTCCACATCCTGAGAATGAATTAAACAATTAATAAAAGGCAGCGAGGCCATGGAGAAATTTGAAACAGGATGAGAATTTTAAAATCAAGACATTGCTGAACATGAGAGCAAGTGCTGAGAATTAAGACACAGGCAGCACGATTCCACTACAAGTGCACTGAAGTCATTAAGTATAGGAAAAGCAATCAAGGCATGGATGAGGATTCCACTACAGATGTCTAGCAACGTTATAGAAGGTGGAAAAAGACGATCTTAGAGATAGAACAATTAAATCAGGAGATAATGAGGGCATGTGAAAAAAAAGCAGTACATTAATCATGTGTGACTTTAATCTTCATGTAGATTGGGGAAGTCAGATTGGTAGCCAGTGATAAAAGAATTCAAAGTGCACTAATATTTTGAGGATCCAACCAGCAACCAGGCTGTCAGAAGTCAATGCTGTGATTCATGTGTTGTGCGTAGAACACCAGAGCAGCTGCTTATGCATAGCTTAAAAGAAAAAGATTTCTGGTAATGTGCAATGAGACAGGTTTAATAAATGATCTCAAAGTAAAAGGTGCTCGGAGAAACAGTAACCATAACATTATAGAACTTAGCATTCTGTCTGGGGAGGAAACCATGGGTCAGTGCTCCAGAACTTGCCACTCCCATAGCCAAGCTGTTCCAGTACAGTTAATATACTGGCATCTACCTGACAATGTGGAAAATTGCCCAGGTATGTCTGTACATAAAAAGCAGGACAAATCCAACCCAGTCAATTACCGCCCATCAGTCTACACTCGATCATCAGTAAAGTGATGGAAGTTCTCATCAACAGTGCTATCAAGGCAGCACCTGCTTAGCAATAACCTGCACACCGATGCCCAGTTTGGGTTCCGCCAGGGACACTTAGCTCCTGATCTCATCACAGCCTTTGATCAACCATGGATGAAAGAGCTGAATTCCAAAGGTTAGGTGAGACGGACGGCAAGTAAAATTCATGCCACACAAATGCCAGCCTATGACCATTACCAATACAAGACAATCTAACCACCACCACTTGAAATTCAATGGTGTTACCATCACTGAATCTCCCCACTATCTAAATCCTAGGAACTACCAATGATCAAAATCTCAACTGGACTTGCCCAGTAAACACAGTGGCTACAAGAGCAGGTGGGAGGCTAGGAATACTGTGGCGACTAATTCACCCGCTGACTCCCCAAAGCCTGTCCACCATCTTCAAGGCACAAGTCAGGAGTGTGATGGAATACTTCCCACTTGCCTCAATGAGTGCAGCCCCAACAACACTCAAGAAGTTGACTCCATCCAGAACAAAGCAACCCTCTTGATTGGCACTACATCCACAAGCATCCACTCCCTCCACCACAGACGCTCAGTAGCAGCAGTGTGTATTATCGACAAGATGCACTGCAGAAATTCACCAAAGATCTTCAGACAGCACCTTCCAAATCCACGACCACTTCCAAGGAGGACAAGGGCAGCAGATACATGGAAACATCACCATCTTGAAGTTTCCCTCCAAGCCACTCACAATCCTGACTTGGAAATATATCACCGATCTTTCACTGTTGCTGGGTCAAAATCCTGGAATTCCCTCCCTAAGGAGGGGCAGGTGGATTGCAGTAGTTCAAGGCGGCAGCTCACCAATACCTTCTCAAGGACAACTAGGAACGGGCAATAAATGCTGACCAACCAGCGACGCCCACATCCCACAAATGAATAATAATAATAAAAATCTCATTTCACCTTAGTACAGTTATAAGTACAAAGGCATGAGGGCAGACCTAGGCGCAGTGAACTGGAAAAAGAATTTGAGAAAATGGTCACAAAGACCATACCCCAGTGAGAAAGAAGAATTCTAGGAAGGGGATAAGCCAAATATGGTTAACAGGGAACTTGAGGATAACATAAAATTGAAATTAAAAACACAATGTGGCAAAGGCAGAGGACGAGTAAAGTTTTAAAAGCCAACAAAAGACAACCAAAATAATAATAAAAACAAAATTTGAGTGCAAATCTGCGGGTAATATCAAGACAGACAACAAGAGCTTATTTAAGTACATAAAGGGTCGGTGGGGGTGGGGGGGTGGGTGGTGGGTGGTGTGTGGTGTGTATGTGTGTGTGTGGATGGTTGGAGGGAGGACCAAAGTTAACACGGGCCCCTTAGAGAGTGTGGCTGAAGAAATAATAATTGGAAACCAGGAAATAGCGTAGCAGTTGAATAAATGCTTTACATGTCTTCACAGTAGAAGATACTAATGACAATCTAAAAATACTAACTGATCGAGGGTCAAAAGGAGGAGAGAAAATAAATACAAAAACTATCCCTTGAGGAAAGGGACGAAGGGAACTAACGAGGCCAAAGACCGATAAGTCTGCTGGCGCTGATGGGATGCATCCTAGAATATTACAGGTAGTAACTACAGAGATAGTGGATGCGCTGGTAGTAATCATCTAAGAATCCTTAAATTCTGAAGTCGTCCAGTGGATTGCAAAATTGCCAATGCAATACCTTTACTTAAAAAGCGAAGACAACAAAACCAGATAACTATAAGCAGTTAGCTTAACATCCGCTATTGAGAAAACGTTAGTGGCGATAATAAAGGATGTAATATCAGATCATTTATAAATATGTAATCAAGCAGAGTCAGTGTGGTTTCGCAAAGCATAATCACACCTGAGAAACATGTTAAGAATAGTAAAAGCAGGATAATAAAGGGGGAGCATTGAATGCAATATTTGGATTTCCATAAGGCATTTGGTAAAATACCACACATTAGGCTACCTAATTAGAGCCCATGGTGTTGGAAGTAGTATATTAGCATGGATAGAGGATTGGCTAACTAACACAAGCCAGTATTTTGATTAAAGATGGCATTTTCGTGATCACACCCCGAGACTAGAGGAGTGCTACAAGGATCAGTACTGGGGTGACATTTATCTAAAATATATGTTAATGGCTTTTATAAGGAAAGTGAATGAACAATCACCAGGTTAGTAAATATGTGGGAAGGCACATGTTGAGGATGAAAGAAAGAGTCTGCAGAGGGACATGGACAGTTTAAATGAATGGGCAAAAACTTGGCAGATGGAATATAATGAAGGGAAATGAGAGGTGGCAGCAACAATAGAGGAGTAGAATATCGTTTAAATGGGGAAAGACTGCAGAAAGCTACAGAGTAGAGAAACGTAAGAGGTCCTTGTGCCTAAATCACAAAAAGCTAGCTTTCAAGTTCAGCAAATAATAGGGAAGGCAAATGTCATGTTGGCCGATGCTTCAAAGGGACTGGAGTACATAAATAGGGAAGTCTTGCTAAAATTATACAAGGCACTAGGACCAGAGCTGGAATACTGTGAACAGTTTTAGGTCCCTTATCTAAAGAAATATGTATTGGTATTGGTGGCAATCCAGAGAGGGACTGCAAGGTTGATCCCGGGATGGAAGAACTGTCTTATGAGGACAGGTTTAGTAGGTTGGGCCAGTGCTCACTGGAGTCTAGACGAATGAGAGGTAACCTTGTTGAAACCTTATCGATTCTTAGAGCATTTTACAGGGTAAATGCAGAAGGTCTTATCTCCTTGCAGAGGAGTCTGGGACCAGAGAGCATAATCTCGGAGAAAGACAGAGAGAGGAGGAGGAATTTTTTTTCTCTCAGGGTAGTGAATTTGTTGAGTGTCTTTATTGTAGATGGTGGGTCATTAAGTACAGTCATGGATGAGAGGGAGAGTTTTTTTTAATTATTCTGGGAATCAAGCACTACAGGGAAAGCAGGAAAGTGAGGTTGAGGATGATCAATTTAGCAATGATCTCACTGAATGCTGGAACAGGCTTGATGGGCTGAGTGGTATACTGCTCCTGTGTCTTATGGCTTTGTATGCAGTTGGAAGCTCATCTCAGGATCAAATGTGACACCAAGGTTGTGGGGAAAAAAGCTTAATCTTCGATTCTTGCAAGGGAGAAGGATGGAAGTGGTAGTTTTGAACTTGGTTTAGAGTAAAGCCAAGCATCAGTTTTCCCAGTATTTGAATAGAGGAAATTTCTGCTCATCCTCTATTGGATGGAAATAAGCACGATTGGAGTTGAGAAAAGTAGTCTTGATTAGCTTATGGCCAGAAGTAGCTCTGAATCGATGACAATTGAATGAAGATTGTTACAATTCGTATTTAAAGAGAAGATCAAAGAGTAAGAACAAGCAAACAATAATCCTGTGTTCAATCAAGATAGATTCCAGTTGATAAAAGCTGTCAATCAAACTCTTTTAACCAAAGGCAGAGGAGAAGTCTGTTCCCTGGATGTCTCCGCTAACAAAATGGTATGCGTTAGACTTTACTGAGCACCAGTGTATAGGTGCACTGTTGGACTCGAAGACTCAAACTCCTTCACAACAAGATACAAGAAGAATCACACAATATTATCTCAGAAGTTGAATGCTACAGGTCAGGGAGTACATAAAGATGTAGCAGAGAGCAGTCACAAACTTCAGGACATATGCAAGACAACCAACCGTTTAACTCTAGTACTCTCACCGAATAAAATAAATGCCATGCTTTACTAGAATAAAGTATGGTACAGATTCATTCAAAGAATTTGATTTGGAAAGTAAACTGTTCCACAATGAAATGTCACTTTTAAATTTTAAAGGGCAGCCCAAAATATTGGATATGAAACACGTACAAGTACTTGCTCAGAAATTATAGGTAAAGTCAAACTGCTAGAGCTATTAATGCAAGGATTCCAAACAGCTGAGTGAAAAGTAACATTTCATTCAAGGAAAGTAGTGTGAAAATTACTGCCATGTTAAAAATAAAGCTAGGCCAAAGTTATTTGCTTGTATTACAATAATGGCACACACAGTTCTCTTGAGGACATACTCTCTACTCTCTAACCCTCCGGTTGAATAACAGTAATGGTATTTTGCCTTTGTTTCCTTGGTCTGGACAACGGATAGCTATGATTTATGAAAATAGTGAGGAATCAACTACATCGTAGAAGAAATTTCACAATATTTTAAATACCAAGCTCCACTCAGTTGAAAAGTAATACCTCCCTGCAAAAATGCCAACTTTCTTGAAATATGACTATTTGATGTACCTGCCAAGTCACTTTTAGATTACTTTTGTCCAGTCCTTCTCCAGCTATTCCCAATAATTCTATACAAGATGATGTTAGGGTTTGAATCTGATTGCCATGACGATCAGAAAGTGTTACATCTAAGAAATGAAAATAACATTTTAAGTTAGAGGAACTTTAACAATTCATCCTCAACTAGTCGTTAAAGATTCGTAGTTATGATAAAATAGAGAGTACAGCATTATGCTATAATTACAATTTGCAAGTTTCCCACCACTCCATCTTTTTCCAATTGTGAAAAATGCCCAACTCTGTTTTTGGAACAAAGGAACACAGTGACAGAATTCAATGGTTTCTATGTTGTGACAATCTAGTAATGGGAAGACATTAAAAATTACTTAAACACAGTAAAGGAAAATTAAATTAAAGTTGTCCATACACGAGGAATTTCAATAAGGAAATCTAGCAGGACACCCTTAAAAAAAAATCAGGCAATGTAATCTTCCCCAGTGTGCTATAAAATTACACTATGACCTAAAGCACACAGTTACCTGACTGAAAGAAGTAGCACTGAGCTCCAAATAACCAAAAAAAGGGCATTGGAACTTCAGTATTTTTAAGGCAATAAGGCCAGTTAAAAAAAGTGCTAGAGAAAGGAAAAGAAGAAATTTAAATATAAACAAATAAAAAGTATCATGTGAATTTTATCCTCCTACTGATATGAATGAGTTTGCCAAAAACAAGCTACCAAAAGGTACAGTTTATACCAAAATGAAAAATAAATCATGTTTGTCATGGACAGGTGTTGTTAAAAAATAAAACTGACAGCCTTTATAGTAAGGACACAAACTGCAAGTCGAAGATGCTTGCATGCAACTACTGCTATTATAACAAAAGAATAAACAAACTATGAGGCGTGATTTTGAACAAGTCTTCACAAACTTCAACGGACTTGACAGACACAAAGGATCAATGCCTCTATTGATTTTGCTTAGTCACTCCCTCCTCCCCACATGTCTGGGAATGATTCCAGTTTTTATTTTGCATGCAAAATATAATGTATTAAAAACACAGAAATTCTATCACCTTCAACAATAACTGAGCTTGATTTCTTGAACATGAATAACTTAAACGGATGACAAGACCAGCAGATGTCAAGAGCGATCAGGAATTCAAACGCCTGTGCTTAGGCTTATACATTTGCTATCTTCAATTACAATAATCTGTTACAGTTTCAATGGAATAAGTATGTTTAGATTACTAAATGGTTCGTGTAACAGTTGGTTCTATGGTACAATAAGAAAAAGTGGTATACTGCATTACTTCGTCTAATTTATCACGTCAGAGGCTGGCTTGAAGTCATACTGTTTTTAAACCCCATAGATTTCAGCAGTAGGAATTTTAAAATTGAACAGCAGACAAAATACCTTGTATAATTATGAAAAATAAATTTAAAGAAAGAACTTACGTATTTCTCCTTGTAGCTGTTCACCCATCTGAACAGTACTTAATCCTTTCAATGAACATTTCAAAAGTCTAGGTTCATCTGGCTGTGGCCTAAACAAAGTTACACACTATTATTTGGAAAGTCAGCATTTTCTTAACTGCATTTCTGCCAAGAATCTGGTTTCTAGCCTGTTACAACAAATATTAGGTCACACTTTAACGACAGATCAACAATAATCTACACTGAAGGCTGTTTTCAGTACAAGTTTCATAATTCAGTAAAGATGGGCCAACTAAATCAGTCTGATACCAAATAAATGATTCAAAGAAAAACGTCAGTAGAGTCTGGCCAAAAAGTATTTGATGAATGCTAGTGCCTCCATTTCCATGTTAATTGTACGGTCATTAATTTATTTCTCCTCTATTTCTAGCTTTTAGAATTTGACCTGCTCTTTAAGGTCTTTCAAATTTTCCTTTTACATTGCTACATCATATTACAGCAAACTTTGTCTTAACTAGCACCTTGAGAACTGGCAGTCTTGATAGGCCAGCACAGATTATATAACTGAAATACTGGAAGTCTACTGTATTATCATGATCTCCACGATGTCTGATTAGTCAATTGCAGGTGCAAATGAGAAGGCTCTCTGCCAGTAAAATTTATTTAAAGTAAAAGGTGCATTATTTAAGTTATTTGTGCATTAAGTATACTGGTGATGTGTGTATGCCCTGCATGACATTTTATTCTTTAGTATGTTCTTTTACATGGATTACATGGACCCCTTGATCAACCATAGTATTTGATCAACTGGCACACTCCTGGTCCCATAGGTGGTGGTTAATAAAAGGTTTGCTGTATTTCTCAAAATAAACAACATTCACAAATTAATTCCAGTAGATGACATAACCTCAAGTGGAGGCTGTGCTACTATACTATCGTTACAAACCCTGGATTGACAAAATAGAAACAAAAATCCTAGTTCAGCAGTAGTTTATACAAGATTTCTTAGTTTTTGATCTAGAAAATCAGTTTGCAAGTTTGGCTCAATATTATCTCATTCACAGGTTTGAACGTTCCAGGTGACTCCACGACTGAAGCACAGAAAATGAGCTGCTACATTAAAGCAATGTCAAGAGAGTGCTGCCCTGCTGTCCTTCAGGCAATGGACTAAATCAAGAGAAGCCTTTACCTAGTATTTGGATGTACAGACAGATGAAGACTTCCTGGCACTAAACAGAAGCCTACTTAGTGCCCTAGCTGATGCTTCTCCTTCTTCAGTCACAAAAACAGATTGACCAGTAATCTCATTGCGCATAAGGTCCCAAAAACAGCAAAGTAGCTATGTTTGGCTGCATAACCACTGCAGTTCATAATAAAATTACTCTGAAGTTCATGTTTGAGATGTTTGAGGCATAACAGGATGTTACATAAATACAGGTCTTACCTTTTATTATGTAATCTGTTATGCACTATACTTGGAAATCCATGGTGTATATTGTATAGCTCATTAACTGGTTAACTGGAAGTTACAGCATGGGAACACAGAATGGAAGTAATTGTTCATGAAAAAAACTGCTCCATTCATTCTTGCAACTCCTTATAACTGAACTGTACATTTCATTGTTAAACTGTCAAAGTAGAAACGCCAACTAATGTCACCAACCCTGCTGAATATTTGCAGCATTGTTTTTATTATACATTTAACTCACCTGACATTTTAAAAATTGAACAAAGATATGAAATAAAGATTTTTCAGCTTACTTGACTGTAAATGCACTTTCCAGTGAAATGTGATCATCTTGGTAAGAGACCTGACAATAACGCACATCCTTAATGGAGCATGGTACTTTAACATCAGGCAACAATCCTTGAATTAAGTGTTCTCTATTTATCCGAGGGGTCCAGTTGACCTACAGTTAAGATGTTTAACTAAATTATTATGAGATCATTTGAGAAACGAAACAAATGTAGATTGCTCTCATTTTCCCCTATGTATTGGAGGTTCATTTTAGCCACTTTCACTGGTTAAAAAAAAATTACATTTGATATCCTTACTTTATATTTTTTCTCAAACTAACAAAGGGGTATCCAATAAAACAGGCAAAAGAGAAAAATGACATTTTACAAAAGAAGGAATTGGATTAAGTTTCTGAGCAGGAAGAACATAAAAAAGGATACAGGGAAGAGTTGGAGGACAGCAATTACAGAAAATACACAATGTGTTTCTGACTGCTATTATGTAAACATAGTAAGGAAACAGGTTTGTTACCTTGACAGAATGGGCTCAAATCTGCAAGATCAATTAAATAGGTAGAAAACAATTCTAAATAACTAAGTTTCATTAGCAAAGGCTCAAGGAGCCTGGGCAGTTTTCCATATGTGAGTGTACATACTATTGTTGCAGCTGTAATAGAACAGCTTGGTTAGTTCTCCAGATTAAGTCTTTAGCACTAATGCTAGGATGTTGCCAGACTACACAGCCTTTGCGGTATCCAGTAACTTGTCTATGTTAAATGAAAGTATTACTTACCCCGAAATTGCTATACTGTTAATTTGCTGAGGTAATACAGGTAATTAACAACACAATATAACAAAACATTCACCATAACATCAATCTCAGGTTTGACAACCCACCTCCCACCACATATATTACCAGCCACTCTGTTATTCAGCCACCTGCTCTTAAAAAGTTACTTGAATATGGCAGCTGATGGTTGTAATAGGCATGCTCTTCAAGCCCCAAATCTTCACTAATCTTCTACTTGATGGCTGCCCTGAGGCTGGGATCTTAAGTCCCAGCCTGAAGGGTGAAGAAAGGCGTGCAATGATCCCCACAGGCAGCAGCAACATACACAACAATATTGTTGATTGGTAGCTATGGTCCAATAAGTTTCTGGAATTACTGTCAAGTCCTCTAGTCGTCTGTATGTTTGATTCCAATGTCATAGGCATGATGACCAAATGGTCTTCTGCACTGAACTTTGTGTAGTTCTATATTCAATGCAGCATTTTAATCTAAGAGTATAACAAGAATCCTTGAAGGAGATTTTAGCAAAGGTTAGTAAGAAACCAACGTCTACCTTAATTTTCTCCGCTAGAGATGAATTAACAACAATCTGCCGATCGCCTTCATCATACATTCGAAAGATAAGATGGTGAATTATATCTCCAGCAATCCAGTCAATTTCATCCTGATGTTTAATAGGAATTGCTTTTTGCCCGTCTATGCTGAAGATCTGAAGCTTTGTAACTTGTGTGCTAGGCAGCAACTTAATTATCTTCTCCACAGCTGGCACATCTTTACAGCTCTGTACATTAAGAACCACGCACTTTTTTATTGAAAAAAATTAGACAGACAGGAAATAATCTTAAAAGTAAAAGTAAAATATTATAAAATAATCTGGTATGATTAATATTCTTAAAATGTTATATTATTTTGAAGTATTCCACAATGCAATACTCTAAATAATGGGGGCAGACTACAACTGTTAATTAATACAATGTAAACACCTTTAAATTTGAAACAATATAATCAACAATTAAAGTGACATTAGCCTGGTTTCCTAGCTCATCCTTTGCTCCCTTCTTGAGCAGAGTCATTGTACTGGTTGTCCTCCACATCCACCACAATACGAATATCTAACGGGTATTGAAAATTGTGCTCAGAGTTTTGGGCAATCTTATGACTCCATTCAATTGGCAGATGTATTCTATTAGTGCTCAATTACCATCCAAAGAGAATTAGGATTTTTTTTTCATGAGAATCAATTCTTTCACTACTCTCTTCAGCATTTGCTACAATTTTCTTAAATTGTTACATTCTGCTCGAAAAAAAGCACAGACAGTTAAACTCAGTGACAGGCAATTCAACAGTGATGGAGAACTTTTAGAGATGGTACAGGGTAATTCAAAACAAAATTAATTGTGACTTGATAAAATAACAATAGATAAATGATAGCTATAGCAGATTTTTCAACCGCAAAGTGTACAGCTAATATGTTTGCAGAAGTAATGAAGCAAAGATAAACATATTACATTTTAATATACACAGATATGCTGGCAAAATCAAAGCCCATAGGTTTGAGGCAACAGTGGTAGCATAGATACACAATTGGTTAAGAATATTATTGGTGAATGGTTGCTTTTCAAAAAGGAAGTATACAGCAGTATCATTCAGAATTTGGTATTAAGACAAGAGGCAATATTATTTCTTGTTATTCTTAAATTTCTCAGAAATATCAAATGATCTGCATTTCATTAGACTCAGTAGAAAATCATGCCAATATGTGGCTTATCCATCTTCAGCAAGCTTCTCTTCATCAGAAGGTTAAAAGTGGGAATGTGTGCACAGTACTTTGCATCATTCAGAAGTGGCAATAGTCACCGATGTCTGCACAATGTTCAGCACCAACGATGATATCTCATAGACCGCAACAGTCCATATCCAAATATAGCAATACCTAGACAATATCTAGGTTTTGGTTAATAAGTAACATCACTCCTTGCCATTCAATGAGATTACCATCTCTGAATACCCGACCAATAACATCTGGGAGTTACCAATGACCAGAAAGTGAACCAACCATATAAATACAAAGACCAGAACTCCTGCAGTGAGTAACTTACCTGATGCCCCAAAGAACGTCAGGGGCTAGATGGAATACTCCCCAGTAACTTTCAAGAAGCCTGACACCAGGACAAAGCAGCCCATTTAACTCGTATCATATCCTACACCACTGACGCTTACTAACAGCAGTGTGTACCATCTACAAGGTGCACTGCACATGTTCAAAGGTTCCTTAGACAGAAACTTCCAAACCCACCGCCCATCTAGAAGGACAAGGGCAGTATACACATGGCAGCATCACCTGCATGATTCCCTCCAATCCATTCATCATCTTGCCTAGGAATGTATTGCCATTTCTTCACTAGGTTCAAATCCATCCCTAAAAGCACGAAGTGTAACTGCACCAAACAGACAACAGTTGTTCAAGATGGCAGCTCAGCAGCACATTCTCCAGGCCAACTAGGGACAGGTAAAACATTCTGTCTCAGCTAATGAAGCTCACACCCCCAAGTGACAAAAAAAAAAAATCACAGGACGATATCTGACATACACGAACTTGTACGTAATGGGGTTTCAACATATTCTTGCCGAATAGGGGTCTTGTGGCGGTGCACTGGTAATGCCCCTAACTCTGGGCCGGGTCTAGGTTCAAGTGCTACCTGCCCTGGAGGTGTGTGGTAATATTTACAATCTACCCTTAATGGTGTAGATGATGGGGATTGCATGTTTGCAAGTGTTTCCTAGAGAATATTCTCAGAGCGTGCCAGAAATCCTTCTGATAACTAGGAATACTTGGGTGATCTCAATTATAAGCTTGAGCATTAACATCATAGCCGTCCGTGGAATGTGCACAGTACGATATAGGCCAGCAATTATCACCCTTCCCTAAGGATGTGGGGCCTGTGAGGTTGGCTTTGTCATGGATGGTCATTGAGTCATAGTTAGAATTAATATCCAAAAGTAGGCTCCTTTCATCCCCTAATTTCCTTCTCCAGCTAGCCACCTATCTTCCAACCTCCTTCAAAAACACCTGATCACCTGCTAAAGATCACCCTTTTAGAATATTCTTTCAGCCAAGCTACCTATAATACAACTGTGTCAAGACTGTTGGAACTACACTATTGAAGTAAATTTGATCACACTCCTCACTTGTGCCTTGTAGATATTCGACAGGCACTGGGGACACTGAAGGGCTGCCTCAGAATTATTATCCTCTGATCTATTGTTGTAGCCACATTACTTAACAGCTGATCCGATTCAGTTTCTGGCCAATGGCAATCTTCAGGATATTGATAGTGGGGGATTCAGTGACAGCAATGCTATTGTTGTGATATTAGATCCTCCCCTTTTCAAGATGATCATATTTGGCACTTGAGAGGCATGAATGTTACTTGCCACTTATCAACCCAAGCCTTGATGTTTTCCGAGTCTTGCTGCATATGGATATGGGCTGTTTCAACACCCGGGACATGAGTGGTGCTGAACATTTCGCTTGATTGCGTAGATTATGACTTTTAACCTTATGGTGGAGGGTAGGTCATTGATGAAGTAGCTGAAGATAGTTGGGGGCACTGCCCAAGGAGCTCTTGCTATTGGCAAGCCAGAAGGGCCAAGTGGAGTGTTCATCTTGCAAGATGCAAAGTCATGATCATATCACGTGCAAACCTGCACAAAGTATCACCAATCGTGCGAGATTGAGTTCCAACTGCAGTAAGCTTTGCATGTTAAGGACAGAGAGATCACATCCAGATTGAGACATAGACTACGTGAGCATATAGTTTAGAAACTTTGGAGGCAGCATGAGAATTCAGTGCAGACAAAGAGTGCTTTTTGCTTGCTTTTTCAGTACTAGACTAAGGTATTTTTACAAGCTAACTGAAGCCCAGGATCAGGGGCCCAGCACAAAACAGTGACATCACAGGGAGACCGCAAGTGCACTGGTTGGTATTGGCTGCTAACTGGACTATTTGTTATAGGTTACTTTCGATTGATGGTAAACAGGAGAAATATTTACAGGTTCCAAACTAAAAAAGCAATAGGAAGCTTTTTTTTTGAAAAAATACATATTAAGGACTAAGCAAATAGAGATGCAGGGCCAGGCAATGCGTTGCACCTGCATGATGTGGGTGCTGGCGAACCCCAATGTGGTTTATAGTGATCACATCTGTAGCAAGTATTGGTTGCTTATGGAGCTCCAGCTCAGAGCTGATGAGCTGCAGTCTGAGTTTCCAACACTGCGACATGGGGAGGTCATGCCTGACAAATCTGTTTGAATTCTTTGAGGAGGTAATGAGCAAGTTTGACAAAGGAAAGCAAATGGACGTGATCTATTTGGATTTCCAGGAAGCCTTTGACAAGGTGCTGTTCTGGAGGTTGCTACACAAGATAAGAGCCCATTGTGTTAAGGGGCAAGGTACTGACATGAACAGAGGATTGGCTGACAAGCAGAAGGCAGAGTGGGCATATGGAGGTCTTTTTGGGACAGCAGCCAATGATTAGACAGTGTTGGGGACCACAACTGTTTATGTTATACATTCACAATCTGGATGGAGGAATTTAGGGCATTGTGGTTAAGTCTGCAGATGTCACAAAGATAGGTGGAGGGACAGGTCACATTGAGGTGGTGGGGAGGCTGCAGAAGGACTTGGACAAGCGAGGAGAGTGAGCAAAGAAGTGGCAGATGGAACGTAATGTGGGAACGCGAGAGGTTCAATACTGCAATAATTAATGCGCATCACATATTTCATTTCTCTCTTCACATATTTAACTATTTTCCCCTCACAGGCTTAATTAAATCAAAGATGAACTTGTGCAGAAACTCAGTTACATTTAGGTCAAAATTTTGCTTCAATACTGACTACGAACAAACTCAATACTTTCCTACTTTTTCCACACTAGTTTCCTTGTAAAGCCTCTAGATCCAGCAAGTGCAAACTTGTAGCCCAAATGCAACATAAGACAGATGGGTGTAACAATTCATTAAAGTAGCTCCAAGTAGGTACCAAACAAATGTTTAAACAGTTCTTTGTTGACCTATTCATGATGAAAAAAAAAATCAAGAATAAATTCTTACTGATATCTCAATTCTTGCTTTCAGTGTTTGGTCTTTCTTAATATTCTGGACATGTATCACAGGGCCAGTTAAGATTCCTGTTCCGGTATTACTACAATCCACGGTGTACACAGGCAAATTTGGGGCACCAAGAAACTGAAAACAAAGTGCACAGAAAATTAAAGCGCGTAGTAATATAGGCAAACAACGACGAGACAACTGGTAAAATAGCATGTATGGTCTGCAAGCTCAAACAGCTGGAGAGACCGTAATTATATAACCAGTTCTCTTCTGGCTTTACTTCTAGCAAGTCCAGGATGATGGAATCTTTTGCTGTGTACTAAAGTAAAATGCCTCAAGTTGGTATCTGATACAAAAAGGTTTTTTGTCAGTTTTTCACGCACAGGATGAGGGCATCACTGGTTGGATCAGAGAAAGAACAGGGCTTAAGAACCACAGTGGTAATTTGTGGATGGAGCTAGAGGACATCGGTAGCGTTCTGAATGAATACAGTGTGTCAGTGTCCACGAATGAGAGGGACGATGTGGATATAGAAATGAAGGAGAAGAACTCGGTATGATTAAAGAAATCAGCATAGACAGAGAGGAGGAGTTGAGTTGAGATGAGAGCAATCTGGAAGGTTTAAGACTGGACAAAGTTTGTACCAGAGATAGTAGGAACTGCAGATGCTGGAGAATCTGAGATAACAAGGTGTACAGCTGGATGAACACAACAGGCCAAGCAGCATCATAGGAGCAGGAAGGCTGACGTTTTGGGCCTGGACCCTTCATCAGAAAGTTTGTACCAGGCTGTTTCAAGGGGTGAGAAGGAAATAGCAGTGGCACTGGAAATAATTTTCAATTCCTCTCAGGCCATAGGAGATGTGCCAGAGGACTGGAGGACAGCCAACATGGCACCATCATTCAAGGAGGGAACAAGAGATGAACCACGAAACTGCAGTCTAGTTATTTTAACCTCAGTGGTGGAGAAACTATTGGAAGCAATTCTGAGGGACAGAATTAAACTGCATTTGGAGAAGCAGGGACTAATTAAGAACAGTCAGCACGGTTTTAAGGGGAAGTCACATCTGATCAACTTGATTGAATTTTTCAAAGTGGTAACCAGGTAAGCAGATGAGGGCAATGCATTTGATGTAGTTTACTCGGACCTCAGCAAAGCTTTTGATAAGGTCCCACATGGGAGACTGATAACTAAAGATAGGAGCCCATGGTTGACATGTATAAAATTATGAGGAGAATAGACAGGACTGAATTTTCCCTTTGATGGAGGGACAAATGACAAAAGGCAGAGATTAAAGGCAAGGGTTAGAAGGTTCAGAGGAGATGTGAGGAAAAGGTTTTTCACTCAGAATCTCGAATGCACTGCTTATAAGGGCGATAACGAGGTAAGAAATAGGGAGAGTGTGCAGCTAAACACGTGGCTACACAGCAGGTGTAGGAGGGAGGGTTCCATTATGTGGATAATTGGAGCACATTCAGGGGAAGGTGGGACCTGGACAGTAAGGACGGGTTGCACCTGAACCGGAAGGGCACAAATATCCTGGGAGGGAGGTTTGCTCGAGGTATACGGGATGGTTTAAACTAGATTGACAGGGGGTGGGGAACCAGTTTAGTAATTCAGAGGATGAGGTATTCAGTCTTCCAACAGACACAACAGGGAGAGGTTGTTAATAAAGAAATGCAGCCGATGAAGCGTAATTGTGGACACAGATGGTTTGAGATGTGTATATTTCAATGCTATAAGTATCAGAAATAAGGCGGATGAACTTAGAGCATGGGTCAGTACTTGGAACTACGATGTTGTGGCCATGACAGAAACTTGGGTAATTCAGGGACAGGAATGGATGTTGGAATCTGGGATTTAGATGCTTTAAAAGAAATAAGGAGGGTGGAAAAAGAGGCGGGGGAATGGCATTGCTAGTCAGGGCTAGTACAGCAGCTACTGAAAGGCAGTTTGAGAATGATACGTCTACACAGTCAGTTTGGGTTGAGGTCAGGAACAAGAAAGGAGCAGTCACTTTGTTGGGGGTTTTTTGCAGACCCCCTAACAGTTGCAGAGAAGTGGAGGGGCGGATTGGGAGGCAGATACTGGAAAGGTGTAGAAGTCACAGGGTTGTAATCATGGGTGACTTCAACTTTCCAAATATTGATTGGAAACGTTTTAGTTGTAATAGTTTAGATGGAGTGGATTTTGTCCATGTGTTCAGGAAGGATTCCTGACACAGTACATAGATAGACCAACACGAGGAGAGGCCACTTTGGGTTTGGTGCTTGGCAATTAACCAGGCCAAGTGTTAGACCTGTTGGTAGGAGAGCATTTTGGCGGTAGCGATCATAACTGTTACTTTTACAATAGTCATGGAAAAGGAGAGGTACATACAGCAGGGTAAGGTTTATAATTGGGGGAAGGGTAATTACAATTCTGTTAGGCAAGAACTGGGTAACATAAAATGGGAACAGATGCTGTCAGGGAAGAGCACTATTGAAATGTGGAGATTGTTTAAGGAATGCATACTGCGTGTGCTCGACATGTTTGTCCCGAGCAGGCAGGGAACACGCGGTCGAGTGAGGGAGCCTCGGTTCTCAAGAGAGGTCGAACGACTGGTTAAGAGGAAGAACGATGCTTATATAAGGTTTAGGAAACAAGGAACGGAAAAGGCTCTAGAGGGATACAAGTTATCCAGGAAGGAGCTGAAGAAAAGGCTTAGGAGAGCTAGAAGGGGGCATGAGAAAACCTTGGCAGATAGGATCAAGGAAAACTCCAAGGCTTTTTACACGTGCGTGAGGAATAAGAGAATGAACACAAAGGATAGGGCCGATCAAGGATTGTAAAGGGAATTTGTGCACGGAGCCTAAAGAGATAGGAGAGGTCCTTAATGAATACTTGTCTTCGGTATTCACAACTGAGAGGGACCTAATTGTAGAGGAGGACAGTGTGAAACAGGCTGGTAGGCTAGAGGAGGTCGATATTAGTAAGGAAGATGTACTAGGAATTTTGAGGAACTTGAATACAGATAAGTCCCCCGGGCCTGATGGGATTTATCCAAGAATTCTACGAGAAACGAGGGAAGAGATTGCAGGGCCTTTGGCAATGATCTTTTCGACCTCACTATCCACAGGTATAGTGCCGGAAGATTGGAGAGGGGCAAACGTCATTCCCTTGTTCAAAAAAAGGGAATAGGGATAACCCTGGAAATTACAGGCCAGTTACTCTTACGTCAGTGGTGGGCAAATTATTGGAAAGGGCTCTGAGAGATAGGATTTATGATCACTTGGAAAGGCACAGTGTGATTCATGATAGTCAGCATGGATTTGTGAGGGGTAGATCATGCCTCACAAACCTTACTGAATTCTTGGAAGAGGTGACCAAACACGTGGATGAAGGTAGAGCAGTGGATGCGGTATACATGGATTTAAGTAAGGCGTTTGGTAAGGTTCCCCATGGTAGGCTCATGCAGAAGGTAAGGAGGCATGGGATAGGGGGAAATGTGGCAGATTGGATTCAGGATGGGCTGGCCCTTAGAAGACAAAGGGTGGTAGTGGACGGAAAATATTCAACATGGTGCTCCGTTACGAGTCGTGTACCACAAGGATCTGTTCTGGATGCTCTTCTAATTGTGATTTTTGTAAATGATTTGGATGAAGGAGTGGAAGGGTGGATTAGTGGATTAGTAAGTTTGCGGACAACACGAAGGTGAGTCGAGTTGTGGATAGTGCGGAGGGCTGTTCTAGGTTACAAAGGGACATTGATAGGATGCATGGCTGGGCTGGGAAGTGGTAGATGGAGTTTAACCCTGAAAAGTGTGAGGTGATTTATTTTGGAAGGACAAACTTGAAAGCAGAATACAGGGTTAATGGAAAGATTCTTGGCAGTGTGGAGGAGCAGAGGGATCTTGGGGTTCATGTCCACAGTTCCCTGAAAGCTGCCACCCAGGTTGATAGAGTTGTTAAGGTGGCGTATGGTGTGTTAGCTTTCATTAATAGAGGGATTGAGTGCAAGAGCCATGAAGTTATGCTCCAGCTATATAAAAGCCTGGTTCGGCCACATCTGGAGTATTGTGTCCAGTTCTGGTCGCCACATTACAGGAAAGATGTGGAAGCATTGGAAAAGGTGCAGAGCAGGTTTACCAGGATGTTGCCTGGAATGAAGGGAAGGTCTTATGTGGAAAGGTTGAGAGCGCTAGGGCTTTTCTCTTTAGAACGACGAAGGATGAGAGGTGACTTGATAGAGGTGTACAAAATGATCAGAGGTATAGATAGAGTGGACAAACAGAGACTTTTTCCTAGGGTGGAGGTAGCTATTACGAGGGGTCATAATTTTAAAGTGAGTGGAGGTAGATATAAGGGAGACGTCAGAGGTAGGTTCTTTACTCAGTGTGGTCGGGGCGTGGAATGCATTGCCGGAGAGGGTAGTGGAGTCGGCCTCATTAGGGGCATTTAAGCGGCTATTAGATAGGCATATGGATGATAGTGTAGGGTAGGGGTGGAGGTTAGATAGACCTTAGGATTAATGTAAAAGTTCAGCACAACATCGTGGGCTGAAGGGCCTGTACTGTTTTATGTTCTATGATAGAAGCAGAAACCATTACAATACTTAAGTAGTATTGAAATGTGCACTTAAAATGCCAAGACAAACAAGACAATGGGCCAAGTGGTGGAAAATAGAGTTAGAAAAGTTAGGTGGTTGTTTTTGACCAGCACAGCTTCAATGGGCTGAAGGGTGTTTTTCTGTGCTGTCAACATCTTATGATTCTAATTACTTGATACAGCTGCATTATGAAATACTGGATAGGAAGTCAGGTCAGGAGAATGGGTAATGGTGACATAAAAAAAATCAAGACCAGCAGTTCAACTGAAGATTTCACTTACCTTGCAATGTACCACCAATTTGGGCTGTGCTGTAATATTTCCTGCTTCATCTAGCACTTCAGCTTGAAACGGGAAGGTGGTTCCATTTTCAATAACTACTTTATTAGAATCTGGCTTAATCCTCAGTTCACGAGGTGGACCTATAATAAACACGGTATTAGAGGCTCTGCATTAGCAAAAATTCTCTCTTTTTCATCCCCCTTAAATGTTCTTCTGCCCTTTCCTCCAGGGTTGAGCTATAAATCACAGGCAACAAAACTCGCCAGGATCTTCACACCCGAATATAAGCAGTATGTTTACAGTTTATAGAACTTCACAAAACAATCAGTCAAGCCGCATTCTGTAGCAGACACGTACTTGAATGTATTTTTAGCAAAGATCATCAGATAAGATAATCAATGAAATTTATCACTTCTTATTATCTTGTCAGAAAAGGCACTGAAGTTAAATGCAACATATTGTTGCCTTTTGCATAACTAATTCATAAGCAAGATGAATAATCAAATTAGTTGCCCTGATTCAATATTATATTGGGTAGCTCATTCATCCACAGATCAGCAAAAAGAATTATAGTGCTTTCAGCATGAAACATTGAAATCAGAAAATCAAATTCAGGAGGGAGCTCTGACCAGAGTCTGGGCCAATTTTTCAGATGTGTAAATAAATTATATACTTCTACATTTAATACTGTTCCAAAACATTTTTAGAATATTTCTTAAATTGAGTATTGCTGAAAAAATAAATTTTGTTGAAGTGTTTCTCCTGCACTCATCACAGATTGCGCAGTACAAATTCAATGGGAAACAAATATTTCTACTGTATGACAGGACAGTGCTGACTGATTGGCAAGTGGACTCTGAAACATGAGTCGACATGGATAATGGGCCTACTAATGCTGACAGTTAGCAGCCAGGCTTTGTTAACTTCTAAGCCAGGCAGGTTTACTCTGATTGGTCAGAGCAACACCCTAAGAAGGGAACCAGTGAATAGCTGTTACCTATTTTGTTGCATTAAGACAAACACACTGTACATACATGTTACTGTCTGCAAAGAACAGAGCACCATGAATTAATACATGTCACTTCCGGTTCACTTAAGTATGATACCTTGTGAACCTGAGTTAATCTTCAATTGGCTGTCAGCATAATTCTTCGCACATTCAGGATTATCCAGCAAATGCTGCCCAATTGCAGAATCACATTTGCAAGTTTTACAAGGGTAGGTTGGTTGGCTATGGTCAATACCTTACTTGCGCTGAGCAGCTGAAGGAACACAGTTTGATATGATCTGCTAATCTTTGGAATGCACAGTCTAGATATCCAGCATCACCCTAGTACTGAAATTTGGATACTCATTTCTAGGGCTGTCTTGATAGCAGCATCCTGTTCATGGTGAACATCACTTGTGTTACTACTACGGAGTAGCAGCATGAAACAGCCAACTTCACCTGTTTCCCCGAGGTAAATGGGGCACTTTTGAGTACCAAGAGTGATCACCTTAAGGCTTTCTATGAATTTGCAAAATATACAGAAGGAAATGATCCGATTAGGGTAGCTATTATACCAGAAATGACTCTGATGTGCCTTATTTCAGCATTAGACTTATACAGTGAACAAATGGCTAGGGCTCTATTTACAAGATTTTCTCTAAAGTCAGCCTTGAAGCATGTGGAACTGTAGGATTCCCAGCATCTATACTGACCAGTGAAGGTAGTTTGTGGCAGACAGTTGTACAGAATAGAAGATAACTGGCAGCTCTTGTTAAAAAGGCCTGTCCCATTGAGTGCTTCAGTGACATGCTAAAATGTGGCAGATAGACGGGCTATGCTATCACCTTCCTGACTGCAATATATATGGTAACAAACCAATACAGAATAATTCATTTAAAAACGTACATAAATGCTTCTGTTGTCACCTGTAAATGCACAAATGAAATTTCAAATACATGAAAATTCATCCATCTTGATCAATCTGAGAAATTTAGGAACTTACCAGGCAACAGTCTAATTTTTAATGTTTGAGAATCTTCTTTCAGTCCCGGTAGGATTACTTTAAGAGTGAAGTTCTACAGGGAAATAATACAATAATAAGAACTAAGAAAATCAAGAAAAACATGCAGTTAGCTATTTGGTCCCTACAGCCTGGAGTGCCTTTCAGTCTCATGGCTGATCTGACTGTGGTCTTAACTCTATTATCTTGACTGGCCCACACTTCTCCACTTGCTGGTAGATCAAAAATCTATCTAACCCAATCTCCACTGCACTCTCAGATAGATAATGCCAAAGGTGAAGAATCTCATCCCCGCGTCCAATTTAAATAAAATAATTTTACTTTAAAATGTTGTCCCCTACACCTACATTCTAGCCACCACCTCCTCTTAAGGGAACATCTCCTCAACATGCATTCTGTTAAAATCACTCAGAATCAAAAGGCTATTACAAAAATTACAAGAATTTATTGACTTGCAAACCTTTCATTTACTGGTGAAAAATTACTACTTGATAAATAGAAATAAAAAGTAAAATCAATAATAAACCTAGATATTGGCATCAGTTAACATTACATGTTAAGGCAATTATGTGCAACAGTACGCAACATGTATTAAAACTATACAAGATTTAAAGATTTTATAATAATTAAACATACCCGGCCTTGGCAAGTGGTCACAGAGCCCCGAGCTGTTACACCTTTAATGATGAAACTTGTTCCTTTTGCCACAAAGGCTTCATAATGTAGTTCTAACCCACTGCAAGGCACACTTAAATTAGAAAGAGTTATATGCCATACCATATCATTAACATCAATTGGTTCGTAGTTATTGAATGGACATTTACATTTTCATACACAGTATCAACAGCAAACATTCATGGGTCTGATTAAATCAACACTTTGGAAAGGCTTCATCATTTTTCTATTCCTAGCCCACTAGCGGCTAAAGCACCTATTAGCCTCTTAAGCCTGTTCATCCAGACAATCAAATCATGGCTGACCTGTGATCTAGGCCCATTTAACTATTATTGTGCCAAACCTCTTAATTCCCTGGTTAATAAAAATCTACTAATCTCTAACTTTAAATTAATTAATTTAGATGCATAGGAGCAGTTGTCCATTTAGCCATTTGAACATGATCTGCCATTCTACATCATGGCTGACTAAATAGAAACTTTCCTAGCCTCTGAGCTTGCTTCAAACATGTACAACTCTAATTTTATTTCAGTGCTAACAAAAGATCACAGACTTGAAATGTTAACACACTTTCTCCTGGCAGATGCTCCTGAACGACTGAGCACTTCCAGCACTTTCTGATCCATTTTAGATTTCTTGTATTTGTAATATTTTTGCAAAAAGGTTTTAACTTTTATACTATATTGCCAAGTCCTAGGCTATCTTACTCACTGGCTCCCCATAATATTTTGTAAACTTCCATCAAATCATCCTGTAACCTTCTGAATTTCAACAAAGTGTGCAATCTCTTTTCATTATTTGATGTCTGAAGGTTATTTTAGTAAATACGAAGAGTGGAAGTTACAGCTGTACTAAGTCTTATTTGACTCTACCTGGAGTACAACACTGAGCCTGCGTATCAAGTCTCTGGAAGTTGACATGATCTTAGAAGGGATTCAGTGGAGTGTAGTTTCACCAGAATGATGCTGGGACTAAAAAGATTTAATTAAAAGGACTGGTTGAAAACTCTATGCTGGCATTCCCTGAATGCAGAAAAAAAAACAGCGTTTATGATGGTTGAATGGGTTTGTGGGAGAGGGAGAAAGAGGGTGGAAAGGGTGAGGAAACTATTTCATTTGACACAGGAGTTCAAGCCGAGGCGACCAAGTTTCAAAATAAAGTTTAGACTATTTAGGGAAGGTGTCAAAACTTTTTCTCACACAAATGGGAGTAGAAATCTGGAACTCTTCCTAAAGCTGCTGTTGGGGCTAGAAAAACAAATTTCAAATTGGAGAATGGTGATAGATTTTTGTTCGCTAAATGTTTTAGGGGTTATGGAAGGAAGACAAGCAGATGGCATTCACAAATGGCTCAGCCATGATCCAACTAAATGGCAGAACATACTTAAGGAGCTAAATGGCTTATTCCTGTTCTTACGTTCTTGCTTTTCCATACAAATGCTTCCATTTTGTGCAAACCTGTTTGGTTCCCACACATCAATGTAAAGTTATTCACTAAACAGCATTTTTTTTTTTTTTAAGATTTAAAACTCACTTTCCAGTGGCATGGCTATCCGTTTGAAGCTCAGAACGTTGTCAAGCTATTTAGTCATTTTCCGCTTTCAATAGGCCTCAATCAAGCAGGATATTCGGCCATAGCAGGAACTGCCAATGCTGGAGTCCGAGATAACAAGCTGTAGAGCTGGATGAACATAGCAGGCCAGGCAGCATCAGAGCAGCAGGAAAGCTGCCGTTTCGGGTCTGAACCCTTCTTCAGAGTTGTTTTCGGTGTTGTTTTCTAATTAAACTACTTAGGCAGTGCTTCATTACTGACCTTAGTTTCATGACTGTTTCCTGTCCTGAGGATCGTAGATTTTTCCCAAAGGGGTTAGATTATACATGCAGGGAAACATTACACAGTACAGGGCACTGCTGAGATCACTCCTGGAGTACTGTGCAGTTTTTGTCTCCTTGTTTCAGGAAGTTTAGTGTACTTTCAATGGAAGTAGCACCAAGAAGGTTCACTAGAACGATTCATGAAATGAAGAGGTTTTTCTCAGGAGGAAAGATACAGTAGGTTTGGTCTATATTCATTGAATTTAGAAGAGTGAGAGGTGAATTTATTGAAGCAGACAAGACTCTGAGGGGATCCAACTTTCCACTTGCAGAAGAACCTAGTCCAAGGGGAGTACAGTTTCAAAATGAGGGGTCACCTATTCAAGACAGATGTAAGGAAGAATTTCTTCTTTTTGACGGTGACTAATCTTTATAATTATTCTTCTCAGACAGGAGTAGAGGCTCAACATGTTCAAGGCTGAATTAGAATTTTGATCTATAAAGGCATCAAGGGTTATGGAGTCGCAGAGAAAAGCGAAGCTTAGGTCACAATCAGATCAGCCGTGATCTTACTGCATGGTGGAACAGGCTTGAAGGATGAAACGGTCTCCTGTTACTCCTATTCTATGTTTTAATGTTCAACATATCTACATTTCTCCCCCCCACAGAATTCTAGAACAGCAAGATTCAGGAATGTCATGTCTCTGCACAATTTTTTCAATCTGTTCAAAACAACCACTTTTGAAATTTAACTTGCATTGTTCTTCTCAAATATACATGAATAAACAGGTCAATTGATCATCAAAATGCATCAGATTGAAAGGTGAAAACCTTGGCCAAAGATGGCAAATCTCATTGGATTCTATAATGATTAAAGCACTAGTGAGCATCATCTGACCCATGTTCATGCTGGCTCTCATCAACAGCAATTAATCTAGTGTCACTCAACCCTGCAAATTCTGCCTCTTAAGATTATCTAGTTTTCTCTTGAAAGCCACATTTGAATCTGCCTTCACCATACACACTGACAGTAATTCAGATCTCAACTGTGCATGTGACTTAACAAGGAGACAAATTAAGTGGAGAAGTATTTTTCTTTATTTTGCAGGTATATCAGTGGCCACAATTTTAACTTAAAGATCAAGGAGGTCGTCTTTATGTTGAACCCCAGGAGATGGGAGAGATGCTAAATGAATATTTTGCATCAGCTTTCACTGTGGAGAAAGAAATGGAGTCTAGAGAATGCAGAGAAATAAACCTTGATGTTTTAAAAAGCAGTTCACATTACAGAAGAGGTGGCTCGGGAGGTCTTAAGAGAACATAAAGGTGGATAACTCTCCAGGACCCAATCTAATGAATCCCAGAATGTTGTGGGAAGTAAGGGAAGAAATTACGAGACCCCTTGCAGAAATAGTTGCATCATCTGTAACTACGGGTGAAGTGCCTGATGACTGGAGGGTGGCTAATACTGTACCTTTGTTTAAGAAAAGTTGTGAAGAGAAACCAGGGATCTATAGACCTGTAAGTTGTGGGTAAATTGTTGGAGGTGACTATAAAAGATAGGATTTACGGTCATTTAGAGGTAAGAATTGCTTAGGGATAGTCAGCATGGTTTAGTGCGAGGAAAACCATGTCTCAGAAACTTGATTGCGTTTCTTGAGGAAGTTTGGCAGAGCAGTAGACGTTTTTTTATTTGGATTTTAGTGAAGTCTTTGACAATGTTCCGCATATTAGACTAACTAGTAAAGTTAGGACGCATGGGATTCAGGGTGATGTTGCCAATTGAATACGTAATTGGCTTAATGGCAGGAGACAGAGTACTGCTGGAGGGTTGCTTTTCGGACTGGAGGCCTGTAACAAGAGGTGTTCCACAGGGATTGGTTCTGGGACCTCTTGTTTGTCATCTATATAAATGATTTGGATGAGAATATATAAAGGCAAGGTTAGTAAGTTTGCGGTTGACACCAAAATTGGTGGCATTGTAATCTTAGAAAACCTTCTTCACGGTCTACAAAGGGATATTGATCAAATGGGTTAATGGGCTGAAAAATGGCAGATGGAGTTCAATCTGGATAAATGTGAGGTATTGCAATTTGGTACAATGAACAAGGGTGGGGCTTATACAATTAATGGTAGGGCGTTGGGTAGTGTTGAAGAACAGAGGGACCTAGAGGTGCAGGTACATAGTTCTTTAAAGTTTGCGTCACATTGATAGGATGGTTGAAAAGGTGTTTGGCACACTTGCCTTCATTGCTCAGTCCTTTGAGTATAAAAGTTGGGATGTTACGTTGAGGTTGTACAGGACATTGGTGAGATCTCTTCTGGAATACTGTATTCAGTTCTGGTCACCCAGTTATAGGAAGGATATCAAACTGGACAGGGTTCAGAAGAGATTTACCAGGATGTTGCCAGGTACAGGTAGTTTGAGTTATCAGGAAAGGCTGGATAAGGCTGTGACTCTTTTCCACTGGAGCGTAGGAGGTCGAGAGGTGACCCGGTAGAAGTTTATAAAATAATGAGAGGTATAGATATTGGAGTTGATGGTAGTTGCCTTTCTCCTAAGATGGGGAATTTCAAGACAAGGGGGCACATTTTTAAGGTGAGAGGAGAGAGACTTAAAGACACAAGTGGCAATGTTTTTTACCTCTTCGCATATGGAATGAACTTCCTGAGGAAATGGTGGATGCCAGTACAATTACAACATTTAGAAGATTTGGATGGATATGCGAATAAGAACGGTTTGGAGGGGTATGGGCCAGGAGCAAGCTGGTGGGACTAGTTTAGTTTGGTATTATATTCAGCATGGACTGGTCGGACCAAAGGGTCTGTTTCCGTGCTGTATGACTCTATGGTTCTATAACTTATTTCAACATGCTGTATTTTAAATTGTTCCACAGATGCTCAAAGATTAGCGATGTGACCAAATTTCTTCCATGGTTGTCTTAAGTCATGAAACCTGATCATCACAATGAGTGCCAAACATTTAATCAAGACTATCTTTATACTGGTTAGACACGAGGGGAAAGCAGGAGAGGAGAAAGAGGACAGCAAACATCGAGTTATACTACATTACGAAGTTATATACATAATACCTTGCCTCCACAATTGGCTTGATAATAGAAGATGGTTGTGTAGAATGCCCAAACTCATCTTGCAAATCTAGAGGAATGTTGAAAGGCACAGCAATGCGAAATGGAGGATCCAACAATCCAACTGTAAATTTATATGGTTTTCCCTCTTAACAGAAAAAAAACACATTAATCTCAATTTTAATATCTTAGTCGAAGGCTATACAAACCTTGAAAAACTATACCAGAAAACAAAAAAATCTCCAAGCAAGCAAGTTTCCAAACTCTAACTCAAGTGATTAGGATTTGAATAATTAAAATTAATTTTGAAAATCCAGAAGAGCAGCAACATGCAAGTGCAAGAGTACAGTAATGTAAGTTACTTAGCAGTTGTGTTACTAAATCAGTAACCCAGTAGCCAGAATCAGTAATTCAGAGAACAGAAGTTCAGCCCCATGCAATAATGATTGTTGGCAACTAAATACAAAATCTGGAATTAAAGAGTGAAATTGATCACGAAATCAGTATATTCAATAAAAACCTAACTAATTCATTAACATCCCATGGGGAAGGGAACCTATGGGTGTTATATGGTGCGACGTGCGACTTGCGACAGACTCCAGCCCATCCCAATGTGACTGTTAACTGCTCACATGCCAAGATCCTGAGCATGAGGTGGTGTTCCACTAATTATACAGTGCCTTCTTGAAACTGTTAGAAATACATTTTCCATATTAATGTTTCAAGCCATAGCAGTCACTGAATTGTAAAAAATATTTCAAACGATATCTTTACATAATAGATTCGCTAAAATCTCTTGCAGTCAGGACCGTATTCAAATGAGCCATACCACAGTGCAGCAACTCGGAATTGCACAAAGCCGAACAGTAGCACTTATACAGAGTTTTTGTAAGGAATGGATACCCAAAAAGCACAATCTGCCGTTACCTCCGCAACAGATCACAACATGGCCAGACACAATAGTCACCCTACCGTATATCAGGGACATATCAGAGATGACCACAAGACTACTCAGGCCCCTAGCTATGAGGGTAGCCCACAAGCCAACAAGCATCCTGTGACAGCTACTGATGAACATAAAAGACCCCATACCTACAACCAATAAAACTAATGTAATATACAAAATACCACGCAAGGACTGCGAGAAACATTACATAGGCCAAACTGGGAGAAAACTGGCAATAAGGATACACGAGCACCAACTAGCCACCAAGAGACATGACCAATTCTCTCTGGTCTCAATACACACAGACAAAGGAGGACACGAATTCGACTGGGACAACATATCCATAATAGCACAAGCCAAAAAGAGACAGAGACATGCCAGGGAATTCCTGGAGGCCTGGCATTCCAACCGGAAGTCCGTTAACAAACACAGTGAACTGGACCCGATATACAAACTGCTGAAGAACAAAACCGGAAGTAATACCAACCACCCCAGAAAACCGAGGCATAGAAATAACAAGTGGGACAGAACACCAACACTTTGCTGCAGGCGCACTGACGAAGTTTCCTAGCAGGGTGACGAAACATCTACAATCAAACACACTGGCTCGGCAAGCAAGTCCAAAACCTCATCCACAACCCGAGCTACAAATCTTCTATAAAACCTCAACCATTAATATCTCAAAATTGAATGGATCATAGATTCTTGTATTAACCAACTTACCTTTGTATTCTGGGTTAAAATTATCAGCTGATTAACATTAAACATAAACTAAGAACTGAAAAAATGTCCTATTAACAAGTGCTCTAAAGTCATTTTGTAAACGCCTTAAGATGCAACAATCCAAGCATCCACTATCTTTCAAACTTAAATCAACAAAAAAGAAATATGAAGTCTTCATAACAGTATACGGCACAACTTCAAAAGTGGTTTGTCAGTTCCAGTACTGCTTTTGCTGGTATTCGACAGTTCAACTTCAAATACATGTTGGAAAAATAATGGTAAATAACAAGTTTGCTCTCCATTCATGAGATGGGAGCATCACCATTTAGTGCTTATTCCCAATTATTCTTAGGAATACTGTGGTGAGCTGTCTTCTTGACTACAACTGAGTGATTTACGAAGACAGTTAACAGACAGGTCACATTTTGGTTGAGGGGGCTTGGAGTCACAAAAAGACCAAAAGGGGTGAGGACTGAATAGAAGATTTACTTCACTGAAATATATTTCTGAACGTAGTGAAGGCTTTCTTTTTTTACAATAATCTCATGGTTTCACAATAAATAATAAGCTTTTTTACTTCAGGTTTCGTTAAATAAATGCAAACACCTCAGTTTTGGTAGGATTTGAACCAATAACTCAATCATACATCAATACCTCAGGGTTTCTGTTCCTGTTACATTAGGCAAGATGGTATGATATACATCGCTTCTGTAGTGCATGGAATATTCCCAGTGAAATCCAAAGCACAAAGTGTGTATGGCCAAACAAAGAGACTAACATTCTACTTTAGGAATTGTTTTGTTTTGGCAACATTCCCAACATTCACAAATCTCCTTACATTCAGGAAAGGTCCCATTAGATTGAAAAATATATAAATGTAAACCCTTTATTCAAACAGAGGCGGCAAAAGGCCAGAAAGTTAGCTTGACATTTGTCATAGGGAAAACATTAGAAGCTATTATTAAAATATTTAAAACAGGGCACTTAGCTTTAAGTTTCAGATAGTCAGACAAAGTCAACATGTTTAGTGAAAAAAACATTCACGTTTAACCAATCTACTTGAAACCTTTAAGAAAGTATCATGTGCAGTGGATAAAGTGGAACCAGTGGGTATACTTTACATAGATTTCCCGAATACATCTAATAAAGTGCCACAAAGGTTAATACAGAAAATAAAAGATTTTGTGGGTAACACTGGCTATCAACAACAGAGCAGGCATAATGCCAACTTGACAAAAGGCACAAGACACAATGGCGTGCGCCAGATATCAGATCTGCAATCTCAACTGTTGAGCACATTATCTAAACGGTGAGGGATTGCAGAGCAGAGATGCAAAGGGATCTGGGTATCCTACAGCATGAATTACAAAAGTACTTGGGTACAGCAAGTAATTAAGAAAGCTAATAAAATGTTAATATTAATTTGGATGAGGTAATGCATCAGTCATACAGGGCAATGGTGAGACCATATTTGGAGTACCGTATACAATATGGATTCCCTGGTGTGTGTGTGTGTGTGTGTTGGAAGCAGTTCAGAGAAGGTTTACCAGATTCTCCTCAGATGCTGCCAAACCAGAGTTTCATCCAGCATTAGATTTCCAGCATCATAGTATTTTGCTTTTATTTACCAGACTACCTGGAATGGGAGAATGTCTAGAATGAAGGTTAGACAGGCTACGCTCATTGATAGGATTTAAATTATTTGACTGTAACATAAGATACTGAGGGATCTTGACACAGTAGTTGGGGGAAGGATGTTCCTTCATGTGGGAGAACCTAGAACTAGTGATCATTTGATTAAAAATCAAGGTGTACTCATTTAAAACACAGATGAGGCAGAATGTTTTCTGCCTCATCTGAAAAGGCAATGGAAGTACAGTCTTGAATAGAGGTGGATAGACTCTTGGTAAGCAAAGGGAAAAGCTTTCGGGGTAGAGAAGGACATGGATTTTAGGTCATAATCAGATCAGACATGATTCTATTAGATTTTGGAGCAGGTGCAAGGGACTGAATTGCTTACTGCCATACCTGGTTCATATTTAGAATACTGGTGAATAAGTACGATAGAGCAACCAAAGGTTTAAGCAATAAAATATTTCCCCAATAATTGCATGAACCATAAGGATTATAGAAAATTAAAAGCACAAGTAAATGCTGAATGCCTCAAAAGGTCATATTGTAATTTCATTTTGAACATATCACTTATTTAGAGCATAAAAATATTTCCACAACAATAGAAAAATCAACAGCAAAGTACAAAAAGAAGAAAGTACAAATTACTGAACACTTTCCTGGTACACATACTTTAAAAATATGGAAAATAAGACAATGGTTGTATAACTGATTCTTTACCTGTAACAGTGAATTTGAAGACTCGACTTGGAAGAGCCCTCCCTGCATATGTGTCTGCATTACTTTCATTCAACACCACTTGTAGTTTTAATGTATAGTTTCCAAGTTTATTAATGTTTTCTGGAAAAAAGTGAAATTCAAATACAAAGTGATACGATGGAGCCATGAAATTCTTGCCTGAGCCAGGCACTTGACCACTTTGAAACATTTACCTCCTCAGTTTCTCCAAAAGCAAACTAAGCACATACTGAGGCAAAGGAAGATATTAAAATATTGAGTAGTTTCGTTTCACAGAAAGGTGAACGTATGGAATACATTTTCTGAGTGGAATCTTAGATAAATCCGTAATTATACAAGTTCATAACAATCAATTTTAAATAAATGGCGTTTACCATCCATCAACAACTTCAATGGCTAATCATAACAGAAGTTCTTGTTAAGTTCCTAAGAAACCTATACACTTGGCATTTAAAAAAAAAATTATGCTCAGAGACCGACAGGGATCAAAGGACTTTCCAACATAATGTGACTACAGTTTGTTACTAGCTAGACAGATTAAAAAATAAAGTGGCAATTAGAAGGAATTAAATGACCAAGGGGATGAGGCAAGGTAAAAGGAATTCAGACTGATTTTTAAAATTTCATATGTATCCCATTATCATCTCCTTTTGCCTCGCAACACCATTCCTTTTCCTATTTAAGCTCCCCTGGGATCCATCATCAGAAAATCTTTTCCTCCTTGTGCCACCCCATCCAAGTTTCCTACATCCATACAAAAAACATGTTACTTTGGCAATTTTTTTCAGTTTTGATATCTGAAACACAACTGCTTCTCACCCACAAAAGCTGCCTGCCCTGCTGAGCATTTCCAACGTGTTACTTTTTTTTTTATTTGAGATCTCTAGCATCCAAAGTATATAACTTTAGTCATAAATATTTATGGTATTGCCATTGGTTAAATAAAAACATTTCAGTTGTGTTTTTTAAGCATCTTTTGTGCAAATGTGTTTTTGAGAAGTTATTTGTAGACATTTTAACAATATTAAGTTTTTATCCCATGCCCTTTGTGAAGAAAAGACCACATTTCAAGACAGATTACTTTCTTGTTGAAAGACTCACCCATCTTTTTGAACCAATATGGCCACTTGCCACCATGTTGACTGATGTGAGAAACTATTTCTTTGTCACCACCAGAAGCTGTAATAAAGCAAACATATCTCAGTTTTTCATGGGTGCACAAGTTGCCATTACCGATGCCACCGTTAACATTTCAAAATTCAGTAACATCTTCAGGTGGTTAGATGTTTCTGTGCAAAAAATTTAATTTATTCACACATCTGTGATAAGGACCAGTTCAATTATTTGGTGGTTGGGAACAAAAAAAGGGCTGAGGAAATCAGAATTTTTTTTTTTAATATAATCTCAGCTAATTGTACTACTGGACAAATCAGATTACAGACTGAAATCCAATTCGATAAGATCTTTGTTTTAGTTATCATGGTGGTCATACACTGAAAGATAAATAAATTCTACAGCCTCATGTCAATATAATACTGATGTTTATTACACAAAAAGTAAGACAAAACTAAACCAAGCTATCTGGATATAGAACACAGTTCAATAATCTTAAAACATCCAGATCTATTCCGCAACATCACTGTACAGCAATTCAAATAGAGACAAATTATAACGCCGTTTGAAATCTTTTAAGTTTACTTAACTGGTTCACAATGGTTTCAGATCTGTGAACTGTGCAATTGTCTTCCATGATTACTTGAAAACTTGGATTTTATCAGCTTCTAATAAGCTGCAGATTTCTAACCAAACATTTCCTGTCTGGAAGTTGTGCAATCTAAAAACTTTTCTACTGATATAACCTATTCCCTTAACAGCTCTGAAAAATTCCTCTCCAGGAGGAAGGCTACACTTGCTTCTGACTTCAACCAGGTCGCCTTTGAACTCTATGTTTAGTCTAGAAGGAGGTACATGGTTAACTCAAAAGAGGAAATTCTCAAGCTTCTACTGGCCTTCATTAGGCCAGGGATAAAAAGTCAGAACGGAAGCAAAATAGAGAATTGGAATGAAATGTTAAGAATCACAAACTTGTGCTTGCAGTCTGAATAAAGTGTTCTATCAAGTGGTCAGCCAGCTTGCACTTGGTATCCCCAAGGTAGAGACCACATCATAAATAGTAAACATAACATAACCAATTTTTTTTTTTTTTAAAAAAGGTACATGTAAAATCAGTTTGATTTGGAAAAAAATGTTTAGGAAAAGAGTAAATGTAGTGTCTCCTGAACTTACATGTCAAGATGCCATAGGAAGAAAAGAGAGGGAGTTCAGTGTGACTGGGAAGCTCTCAGCCCTTTTATTGCTCAAAACTTTTCTATGTTTCCTTAGCTCTAATGAAGTGTCAGCAAGTTGAAACATTAACTTTGTTTCCCTCGATTGATACTGCCTGATCTGCTGAGCATTTCCAGCATTTTCTGTTTACACTCCAGCACTCTTGGCGTTTGGCTTTTGTCATATGTAAGAATGTCCATCGGTGGAAATAAAGATTTCCAATGACCATCCAAACATGCCCTAGCATGCGTATAACTTTTGAAGGTGGGGGAAAAAGGAGGAGAGATGGCAAGAATTGTAACTATCATTAATGCTGGAGCTGTGTAAGCACATCAGGCTCAGGTTATTTTGGACAATCTACATCAGGGTTGCCAAAGTGTGATTCCACACCTGGACCTCTGGGAAATTGCTAACAGCTTTCAGGCTGTTTTAAATCTTTACATTAGTGATCGATATGCCCAAATTGGCCAAACTTTGAGGTCTGAATAACTATTCTTGGAACAGAAAATGTAGGTGATTTTTACTCAAAATCACAGCTCGCTAATATTCACATTCCTTCCCCCAACATCCCTCAAATACTTTCCCTCTAAGCTTGCCATCGTGAACCACAAATTCTCCTGCTCTGGAGTAAGAGCAATTTTCAATCCTCAGCATGGAAACACAAGAAAAAACTGCTGGGAAGCACTGATGATAACAGAATACCTTCCCTTCAATAAGGCTAAAATTGGAGACAATTTTCAACTTGTCATACAAGATAAAAGTCCAAGATAATATTCAACTTACAACCCTTGATATGAAAGTCAAATCTACATATTCATTATTTTAATATTACATAAACTAAAACCTAAATTACAATATGTGAACTGCCCAGCACTGGGACCAAATCTGTCAGCAACCTTTAACCAACTTCAAATGATTTTCACAAGTATAATTAAGATGGCTGCCAAAAGCAAGAAAGCAACTGCTTGGTAATGCAGAACCATGAATTGGAGAAGAAAAACCTAATCCACCTGCATTTGCAAAAGATAAAGTTAGCAAAACATATGAATTTAACTAATCTTAAGACAGACAAACCACAAATTATTGTTAGCTTCCACAATGTGAAGCTTTTACTGGATGAAGAGTTTTTGAAGAGTTAAAGTGCAGTTCTCTAGTCTTCACAAGCCTGTTATCTCAAGTGCCATACCATTTTTTTTAAAGCTCTAAGTCATATTATCAGAGCTGGTCTATATACATAGCATCCCAAAGAGCAACCTTTAAGACAGTGGGAAAAATCAACTTCTGAACATTCAGGACATTTCCTCTCATTTCCCTTATGAATGATCTTGACTATAAATAAACTGAAATTTTGGGATCTGTGTGTAGATGAAAAGCTGTCTTAATTTCTAAAGCAACATTTGGGCAACTCTTTTGGATAAAAGGCACGAGATCTAATATTGTGTGGCTCCATTTCTCAAATGAAAACTATTTCAACATGAAAATTTACACAAAATTATTAGTCTGTTATTGTGCAAGGTATAATTTGCAGATCTTATGGGAGGATTAATTTAGAGTAAAGCTCACAATTCAATGGAAACCTCTGATGAAAATTAAACTATAAATCTTCAGATTGGTTTGAACTGCTGCATGCAGGTAAAAGTCACATTGTTTGAAGACTGCAGAAATAATCCATCATAGAATACTGTTAGTACTAAGAAAGGAAAGATCTTCAAGACATTAAGTATTTTACAGTTAATTTAGGACTCTACACACTTTTAAGTAGTGTTGCAATGATCGGTAGCTGTACATTCCATCAAAGGGTATGCGGTGAAATAGGCATTATAATTCGCTCTGCAATACTTGAGGGTATGCTATTCTTACCCAATGTAGATAGGGAAAATTTACTTCAAACATATATACTAATTTGTCATTTTGCATAATTGTAATAAATTAGAAATAAGCAATGGTACTACATTTTATATATAAATTATTAATGCTCATAACCATGTTTAAGTGCTAGCCATGCCTCAACTGGTAGCACTCTTGGCTGATTTCAAGATCGAAAGTTAAAAATCTACTTAAACACTTGAGCACAAAAACCAAGGTTGACACTCCAATGTCTCACCAAGGAGTACTACTTTACACTGTCAGAGGTGGTTTCATTTGGATAAGAGGTTAAAACAAAACCCATCTGCCTGCTAAGGTGAATGTAAAAAATCCGACTATTTCAATGAAGATCAGACACCACCTGCAATATCTTGGTCAATAACTATCCCCCAATCAACATTATAAAAACAGATTTTCTGGGCATTATCACATTACTGCTTGTTTGCACACAAATTGGCTACATTATTTCCTACATGGCAATAGTGACTAGTTTGGAAAGTACTTAAATGGCTATAAGACACTTGGGAACATCTAACGACTGTAAAAAGCAATGTATAAATGCAAGTATTTTCTTAATTGAAGCAGCTGACAAGCTTAAGTAGTTGTATCATGATATGCTTTAAAATTATTTTCACAAATTGAAAAAGTCAAGCTAACATTAATCTTTTGCGTACTTACAATGCCAAATAACTTTCAGCTCAACCAAGAGTTTTTTTGATCCACCATGACTTGTTCCTGGAAGTTTCTGCATAGTTTCGCCTTTTTTATTGAGAATTTCTATTCTTAAAGCACCTGGAAACAGAACCAATACCTTACATGAGAGGAATATATATTTACTCAGGCTCTTCAAGGAGTTCCAAGCATTCAATTACAAAGTAAAATTTTCATATAACCCTATTGCTCAGCCCTATAGATAGCTGTAAAAATGAACTACGCATTGAATATCTTGCTCCAAAGGATGAACAATTCTGCAGGGCACCATGGTTGGGGGAGGGGGTTGGTGTGGGGAAAGTATTTTTTTGCAGAAGTTTAAATTATACAATGGGCAGTACATTGCAAGGTCAATGCTACAGCTTGGCTTTTTGTTAATATTTTTTCAGAAAATTAAACGCATGCTTCATTGCATGAATGGCACCTCATGTAAAATTTCAATTTTAACAGCAAATTAACATATACTCCAATTTTAAAATTTTAGATTCTACAAACTACTTATTGTGGTACATGAACTATGCTATTTTTCTATTTAAACATAACCTATTTTCTGCTAGCTCTGTGCATCAAAATCTTCCTTCAGTGGACCTACTTTACTTCTATCTTCATTCTCAAAATTGACTTTTCTCCAATAAATAATTTTGGTCTTGGATCTACAATGCACTGATCCTTCCCAAAAATCTTAAAATATCAGTTTTCAAATTAGCCAGATTGTCTCTCAAATTGCTGGAGGTAGAGGCAGAGACATGAAGGAAGTCTTTTCAACTGCGGCTAGCAAAAAACATTTTTCCAAAAACAAAAATCACCATGTGAAGTTTAAAGATTTAAAAACATGTATAGAAATCTCCCAATCACTGGTGAGGTCACCAGATTCAGTCACTGACGTGGGTACTGAACAGTAGATTTAACACCTGTACACAAGAATAGGCTATCACCATGCTGCAATGACGACAACCTCGCTTCTGCCAGTGTGGCTATAGGTAAATTGCTGGGCCAAAATACTAACAAAAAAAAAAGCATGGGAAGAATGAGTCCAACAATATGGAATGCGGGCACTGAAATTTTCATCGGTTTTAACAATTTCAGTAAACTGTTAGAATACTGAATGTTACAAAAAAAAAGTTTATAATATATTACAGATTCTGCATTGTTCACAAACTATGATAATGGCATAAGATATATTTTCAAGCTTTATGTGCTATAACAATACCCAAAATTAATCTTTGCTATGATCAAAGATGGTTACATTACTGAAATATAAATAGAAACAAAATAAATAAATCGAATAAATTTTCTTCTCACCTATAGGCATTCCTGCTTGTCTGCTTTCATTTGTAGTAAGTGCATCTCCTTCTGGCCACGTTACGGATAGTTTGTCAGGGAGTCTGTTTTAAACAAATGGTAAGTATATAAATATATTTAAAAGCATTGGTTTTAAATAAATGCATGAGAATTGGTATTATCTAAAATTTTAGTACCTTGCCATTTCATCTTCTATATACTTCTTGATGACAGAAACAGCTACAGTTCTATCCAATTTCGAGATTGGAATGGTCTTCACCTCATCATACAAAGCTTGGGGTTCCTTTGGGTCCAGGAGGAGGAAAAAAAAAGAACAAAATGTATTACTGAGTGTAGTGATTTATTTTCCATCAACTCATGGATAATATTAGCCGATTTGTCTAATGGAAAATGGGATGGGATGGCCACCCGACCAGTTTAGTATACTACATTATTTGAAATAGGGATGTAGGGGGCAGCCAACCTGAAACTATCAATTTACTGCAGGTTAGTTATTTTTGTAGCAAGCCAATGGAACTCTGCATTTACATCCTATTTTGACAAAAACATTTAAAATTATCTTTTACACGTACTTCATGAGTGCTTTAATCCTGTGTTTTAAATTGCTTTACCCAAAAATTACATCAGAACCATACAATTGTACTCTTTTTGTATTTGCCTTTATTTTCAAAATACAGATAACATACACTGACAGCTGTTGCAGGGAATGTTCAAACACTACATACCATTAGGAACGAAAATTAAGCCAATGTATTAGTCATCTTCAAATTCAGAAGAGAACGTACTTCAAATATTTGAAATATATGAAGCTTAATTACCAGGTATAAGGAAATTGATAGATCACTTCATTCAATGTAGCTTCTTCTCAAACAATTCCATCAGTTCAAGTAGCAGGATGTCATCTTTCATCAGAATCATTCACAGTATGCTAGTTGTGGTCTAGCTAATATCTTATACAGTTTTAGCTAAAACCTCCCTAATTTCATACTCCATTCCTTTTGAAATAAAGCCTAATATTCCGCTTTTATTTCTCTATTATCCACTGAACTTGGATTCTAGCTCTTTCTCATTCATGCATACCAAACCCTTCTGTACTGTAGCTTTCTGCAGTCTCTCTATTCAAATAATATTCAGATACGTGGAACCAATTTGAAAACAGTTTTTTTTTCTCCCCCGCCCCTCACATGCAGCCATTCTAAACCTTTGAAGTTCAAGTCTCCCAAACAGTAAACTGCTAAATGCAAGCTTCATAAGCTTGATCGAATTGATTTATCTATTTACAAGCAGGCAGATATAGAACGTTAACAGAACTGTTTTGGACCTTTCCGAAGGGTGATAACTTCCACTATGTTTACTGGACTGCTAGGGCATCTAAAAAGTAGAATAGTGAATCATACACTTGAAGAAGAAATAGTTTCACGTATAGCAAAAGTAATATTCTGTGGAACTCCATTCCAACGAAGCAATCTGCTGCTAAGATTGGAACAATAAGCCCGATAGTCGGTTTGCATACACAGCTGATGTCCAAAAGTTCTGATAACAGGTCACTCACCTGACGAGGGTTCAACTTTTTTTTCCTCTCAACAGACGCTGTCATGATCAGAATCAGAACGTTTAAGCACTGCAGATATTTTTAGCCCTTAACTCCGAAATGTGCTTTTCAAAGACAACTGTCTACAGATAACAACTCTAAGTGTTAAAAAAAAACGTGTGGGACAGATGGGAAGTAACACCCTAAAAAGTGTCAAGAAAATCCTTGTGATCCCTCGTGACTAGAGATAATGAAGGGGAGATGGACTCCTGTTCAACAACAAGCATTCCTTATGAATTATGTCCCAAACTGCGGACATATTGTGCTTTACCCTTTGAAGAATACATAAGGAAAAGTTTAAATTCTACTGGAATGGACTATTGAAACTGAATATTTTTGTGTACACCAGCCTTGGTTTGAGCATTCGAGACAACAAGGTGCAGGGCTGGATGAACACAGCAGGCCAAGCAGCATCATAGGAGCAGAGAGGCTGACGTTTCGGGCC